GATTTGAACCCACCACCTTAGGTGTATGTGGCTGGCGCCTTAGCCACTTGAGCCACAGGTGCCAAGCCGAAACTATAACTTTAATAGAGGCAGGGAGTCACAAGGGGAGAGAGACTTGCCCCGTGTTGGAAAGGGCATAGCTCAGGTCCTGCGCTACCGACCACCAGAGACCACAGCCCACCAGCCCCCCCGTCCCCAGCAGCCCATGGTGAGCAGATCGGCCCCACGGTGGGCTCCTGCAGCTGCGGAGACGACTTCCACTCGGCTCCTGTGACCCTTGCGGCCAGTGACAAGGCCCACTGGCTCCTGTGACCTGTACACAGCAGTATCCCAGACCAGTGGCACAGTCCCTGACAGTGGGGGCAGCTCCATGGTCCCTCCCACTGGGGGTCAAATTGAGCTTCCAGTGGACCCCCGCTGACTAAATGCTGAAGACCTTTTGAACTCTCCCACCAGATTGGTGTTTGTGTTGCTGGGACAAATGGTTTGGAACTCTTGACCTGGGCCGATCACCTGGGGACCCACCAAGGTGATCCCTAGCTGTGTTGCTGTGGGAGTGTGGGATTCTCCCCTTCCAGTTGTCGCCTGTGGGGAGGTGGAGTGTCTTAGTTGCTTATATATCTCCAGCCTTAAAGATAGATGGAGACTTTACCTCTTTTACGTTTACATGGATGGAGCTGGAACATACCCTACTTAGTAAAGTATCTCAAAAATAGAAGAAAAAATATCCAATGTACTCAGTACTATTATGAAACCAATTTATAATCACTCACACTTTCATATGAAGAATAGATCACAACTATGGCCAAGATGAAGGAGGGAGGAGGGGGATGAGAGGGGAGGGGGGGAGTCAGATAGAGGGAGGGTGAATGGTGGGATCACACCTATGGTGCATAATGTTAGATCTATTAGTATAGAGTATAAATGTCTCAACTCAATAATTAAACAAGATGAGGTATACATTAACCAGTGTGATGTAAATGTTCCTAAGTCTATATGAAATCAGCACATTGTACCCCATAAATGCATTAATGTATACATGATCTATGTGTTTATGATTTAATAAAAAAAATAAGTTTAAGGCTAAGAAAAGGTTCACCAAGAAACACAGCAGACACCAATAGCAACTTGCTCTATTTATTTTTATCTTTACATAGTCCCATGCTATTTGCTTCAATTCATATTGAGCTTACCCCTATAACTAATAAAAACACTCAAAGCATTTGAAAATTGATAGATAAAAAAATGTGTTTGGCATGCCTGTGTGCGCGCACACACACACGGAATATATATTCTCTCCTTATGACTCTACTCAGTGTTCACCTAACATAAGCGTGAGGTGGATGCACACAGCTGAAGGACATGGCTTGGGAGGCAGTTAAGGAGAGAGCCAGAACTAAGTTCAAGAGAATTGGATTCTTAAGCACAAGGCTTGCTGTTTGGCACCCTCGTGACTTCTGGCAGACAAAACTAGTATATTAGAAGAAAGAAGAAATTACGGATGCCATCTCGTC